AAGGCAGCCACTGCAATCCTAAACCAACCCAGAAACTTATTGCCATCCTTCTCTAACACAGGCTCTTGTCACTGTGTTTTTACTAAGCACATAACCCCTCTGACTTGGGCGAGCTTTCTTCCTTGCCCTTAACTGTAGGGAAGCCAGTCAGTAATGAAAGGAGGGAAACCTTGACTTAACACTCCCACAAACTATCCCAGAAATATGATTACCCAGAGTTCTTGACCAGACTATGCTGCAGCACAAATGTCCTTGAGGAATGTTGACTAGTGGATTACAAGCAATAACTAGAGCTCCCACTGGCCAAGCCTGGGTAATTTGGGCACCAAAATAATTAATGACAGTAATGAATTACAAACCATGGAAAAAATAGGAAGCCATAAGCCCATGGTGATACCAAGTAAAGAATAAGTGAGAGAGAAAGGAGGGCCTTTGCTTACCCTGGAGTACCATGTACTCACTGGTAGACACAAAGAGTTCTAGACTTGGAAATCATCATTTTGTAGATTGACTCTGGCAAGAATTATCAATTGATGGTAAATCCAGGAGAAATTTTTGATAAGGACTAAGATATTTGCATGTATTTACAACTTCTTGCTGCAGATTATTAGTGGCAAGGAAGCTGATAATTATATGGTGGAGAAATTGAGCAACACCTTGACCCGAAATGAGAACATTCTATTTTTTAAATAGGACTTCAAAAAGATCAATGTTGTAAAAGACCAAGTCTGTTCCAAATTAGAGGAGACTTAAAAAACAGGACACAATGCACGATCCTACACTAGATCCTGTACTATAAGAAAAAAAATGCTATAAAGTATATTACTCAACAGATTAAAGTGGTGTAACAGTGTGAAATTTACCAAAGTTGATAACTGTAGTTATATAAGAGAATATTCTTATTATCTTCATGGGAGCATAAAATGATAAATCACTCAGGGCAAAAATGTTAGCAATCAATGAACCTGGGTCAACAGTAAGAGGGTAAACCTCATACTATTTTTGTAACTTAATATCAAAATTAATCATTTTGAAAGTGCAAAATGCTGCCTACACTGGTGAAGAACATAAATCTAGCTACCACCGAGTCACTTTTTTTTTTTGGTACCAGGGATCGAACTCAGGTCCTTGTGCTTGCGAGGCAGGTGTCAGAACCACTGAACTAAATCCCCAGCCCCATGAATCACTTTTCATTGTGTGACTAGCACTTTAATGAGTCCTCTGGAAGGCTATAAATGATAGTTTTATTTTTAGGAAGCTTGACATCTCTTGAGGAGGGAAGTCCTTCAAAAAAGAAGCAAGATTATGTACATTTAACTAGAAAGTTTGAAAATGGAGAATAGATTGGGATAGGTGGATGGAATAGAAAAAAAAAAAAAGGCTTCATGGAGCGGTAGGCCTGAGCCTTGCAGGGAGGATTTAAATCAGTGAAGGACATTTCCTTTACTGAGATAACACACCATTTGTGTGACTCCAGGAGAGGCTTGTGTGAAGAGACTGAATGCAATGGAAAGGACAGTGGGTATCAGGAACTGCTGGAAAACATGGTTGATGGAGACCAGTCCATAAATTTGTTCTTCAGGGCACTTACTAGATCCCATGCAGAAGATTTGATGATGCCCAAAACCAAGATAAGGAATTTGTCTCCAGTTCCATATGTAATGGTTATTTTCCACAAGTATTGAGCCTAGGGCAGGTACTTTTGTCCAAAGCCGAAGGCAAACAAGCTAAGATTCAATGCAAGACTTGGATGGATCCCAGTGGAAGGTGGCAAACACGACAGGTACTATGGTCCTAATTCATAACCGTTTCAAAGGGTGCTCACCTTGCAAGAAAGCTAGCTTTTTTTTTTAGCAAAGGATGACTCTCTCTAAGTGGGGGCATTTCTCCATAGGACATTTCTTAATTTTCTTTTCTTTTTTTTTTTTTGTACCGGGGATCGAACTCGGGTCCTTGCGCTTGCTGAGCCAAATCCCCGACCACAGGACATTTCTTAACATCAGTGCTTACAACTGGAGCTCTGACTGCTTGGCCTCTGAGTGTTAAAGAGACCCAGTCTTCTCCCTAGTGGGAGCGGCATTCTCAGCTGCTCAGCATCTCCTTACCACAGGAGCAAGCTCTGGTCACCCATGGCCTTCATCTGTGTTCTAACAAAACTTTATGAAAATTTCAGTAAATTCAAACCCATTTCCCGAACAACTTGTATTTAAACTTCAGCAATTTGTCATCTTCTCCAATTTTTTTTGAGAGGCCATTGCTTCTAACACATTTAGGTCTGATGATGCATAAACTAACACCAAAATGCCATCATAGAAGGAGTCAGCAAACCATAGCTGCCAGGCCAGATCTGATTCCGTTGCCTGTATCTGTATGACTCTCCTGCTACCGCAGAAATGGTTTTCACATTTTTTTAATTGTTGAAAAAAATCTAAAAACATTCAGGATACATGAAAAAATACATGAAATTCAAATTTCAGTATGTAAAGTCAGGTTTTATGGGTACACAGCCACACCCTTTCATGTATTATCTATGGCTGTTTTCACACTAGTGACAAGTTGAATGGTTGCTGTGATTGCACAGCCTACAAAGCTGAAAATACTTACAAAGTCTGCTAACCTCCGGACTCGAGTAATGGTTCTCAACATGGGATGACTTTGCCCTCCAGGGAACATCCAGATATTTTGAAACCATTTTTGGCTGTCACGCCTGTGCAGGTTTGGGGTGTGTACTGACATCTAGTGGGTAGAGGCCAGGGATGCTACTACATACTTTACCTAAGACAGCCCCACACAATTATTTGGTCCAAATATCCATAGCGCTGAGATGGAGAAACTCTGGATTAGAGGTCCCTAAAGTGAGTACTTTCTAGTACAGGGAAAATTCCATCCTTAGTAAGAGATCCTATTTCTTGAACACCCAGGTCTTTCACTTACATTAGCTCAGGTTGCCTTCATAATAGCTCTGGAAAGGAGTCATTGATATTCTCCTTTTCTAAAGAAGTTAACACAACTTGTCCGTGAGCACATGAGGAGCAGCAAGTCAGCCTGGCCCGGGTCTGCTTTTCCACAGCACTCAGGACCGGCCTCTGCGACGTCATAAATGATCATAGCCTAACTCGGCTGCCCCCTAGTGTTCGAGCTGCGCAGAGGCAGGCCAATGCCGTTTCCCCTGGTACCTTGCAGAGGCCTCCAGGCTTCCATACGTAGATGCAAACCACTCCTCCAGCCTTCAGCTTCAGGCCATTGGGGAAATGAAGCCCAGGGAAGGAAACTCCACCTTTGCTGCAACCAGAATTCTTGAAAACTGACCATTCTTCCTCAGCCCCGCGCTAATGCTGGGGGATGGGGTGGGGTGGGGGGCTTCCCTTTCTGGTAGACTCAAGGACACAAAATAGTATTACTCGGTATCTGTAGAATGCTTTTCGAGTCATAAAGAAGTCACATCCATGAATTTTGAGGATGTTCACAGTACAGTGTTAAATGAGAGAAGGCAGCAGTTTTTTCCCAGCCAGAATTAAAACTCACCCGAATCTTGTTCTGTATGATCTGCTACTCCACTTCCTCAATTATGATAATTAGCTTAGTTGATTAAACCCATTTTGATAAAGGAAAAGTAGAGGACTTCCAACTCATACCCACCCTGCTCTAGTGGGAACTTCAGGCCCGGAGTGAGAAAAGGAGGGCACATAGCCACTCACTTAGGAAGATTTTGTGGTCTGATGGTGTTTCCCTGAGCCCCCTAAATCACCCACTTGGGAGGCAGCCACCCATTCCTTGTAAGACAAACCGTGGGGAGCCGTGTCACCTAATAATTTAGGATCAGACCACAGAGCCATTTAGCATTTCTTTGAATTTTATTGAAAATTGACATGGACATTAGAAAGGTATCAAGCAAAACAGTGCTGGTCCTGGGATGTTTCTTTTGGAAAATGAAAGCCTGGGAAGGTCACACCTTTGAGCAAAAAGAACAGAGGAGAAGGGAAAACAAACAGATTCTGGAAAACATGCAAAAAGGCTCCCTAGAGACACTGGAAAGCAGCATGGTGGTGATGGTAGTAGAGATCTATGGGAATGAGCACGCTCACATGGTATTTTGATGCAAGTTAAGCCAATAAACTCAAGGCAGATTTATCAACATCGAGACTCTCCCTCCAGATCCCAGGGTGAACAGAAACTTCGATGGCCTTGTAACTTTGAATGGAATAATTTTGCTCTAGGCTCCTTTCTTCACCTGAATGTTAGATAGTGGATCCATTTTCCCCCTTGCCAGGGATATTCTCCTTTTCTCCTGGGAATGCTGAAGATGCAAGTATCACTTAACTTTCTCTTCCATATTCAGAAATGTTTAATAGTGGCCAAAGACAGTCAACACACTGAACCAGAGAATTGTGTTTTTTTTTTTAAGCATAAAACTCAAACAAAACCTTGTGAACAGCACTTCCACACCCACAGCTGAGGTCTTCTGCCCCAGTCACTTACATTTGGGTGAATGGTCCTGTAGTTGTCTCTCTGAGGTTACATTTGGTCCATTTTCCAGCTCTGACGATTCTTTTCCTGCCTTGTTAGTTTGGGACAAGACACTTCACTTTAAAATACCATGTAAGTCAGAAGAGAGCTTCTTGCCTGGACACGGGGATGCATGTACATTTGTTGAGTGTATTATGTGTGTGTATGTGTGTGCACAGTTTGAGAGGAGAAGGAACTGGTTGGTTTCTGGTTTGAGACACTATGGAACCCTAACTCTTCTACAGTGGCAGTCTTCTCCTTTAGACTTAGTGCAGCTGCTGAAGATAAGATTAAAAAAAGCTGGAGAGGGCGAGAGAAAGAGAAAGAGAACATGAAATTAGCCAAAGAAAAAGGACATTCAAGGACGGGGAGGGAGTGGGCAGTATGAGGTAGCAGAGATTATAATTTCAGAAGACAGGTTAGAAATGGGGCCACTGATGGGCCATCACTAAGGGAAAATCTGCTTAGGAGATTTGAAGAACACCACACACCAATTTTAAAGCTTCTTGTTTTAATAAAAACAAGCACATATCAACAGCCACATGTAAATGCCAGATGATTAAAACAAAAAATAAAAAGCGATCCAAACTGCAGCTGAGGAAAGCAAACTTCTTGGCTTGAGAGAAACGAAGGGGTGTGTGTGTGTGTGTGTGTGTGTGTGTGTGTGTTTCAGAAAAGCCATTACAGCCTGGGAAAATAACAGACCATTTCTAATGACTGGTTTTATTTCACCAAAAGTAAACAGAGAACTTGGGTTTTTTTAAAAAAAAATTGGTAATAACTGTACTAATTAAAAGCCTTTTCTGTGAAGAAGGAAAAAAATGCTTTCGGTCTTCAGTGAGAAAAACTAGCCAATGCAATAAGCATTTAGATTATTTTAATGGGTTTGATTGACTTCCTTTTGGTACTGGGGATCAAACTCAGGACCTTGTGCTTGCAAGGCAGGCAACAGAACCGCTGAGCTAAATCTCTAACCCTATGCTTGGTTGACTTTTAAAGGCCTTGTATTCACTCATAAGTTAGATCTTTACCAAACTTCCCCTGACTATAAGGATCACCCACAACACCTGTTAAACACACACTAGCCTGGGCTCCATCCAGACTGACCAGCTAAAAGGCCTAAAAGGCGCCTTGGTGACTCCTCTTAACTGCAGCACTTGGTTAAATTAAAGACCTGGCCTGGAGCCTTTTCCTTGCCTGCCCCCAAATGTCCCATCTCAGATTATTTTTTCCTATGGGGGGAGGGAACCCTCAAGGGTCCTCTAACACTATCTGGTTTCATCAAAAGATCTTGCTTCCGGGAACATACACAAGCAGATGGATTCCCTTGAGGAAATGGATTGGGTATCTAGAGACATGGAATTTAGCCTGGCTTTTGTCAAGACTCAGCAGTAGGACCTTAGGCAAGTCCCTTCACTTTTCTGAGTCTGTTTCCTCTTACAGTGTTAAGTAGATTCTGTCTTACTGAGCAAAACTTCTCCCTTTGATAGAAAAATTCTTTAGTATCTGAAAGTCTCTCATAAGCTGTGTGGCTCTAATACTTTTGAAGTATTTTGAGATCCTCAAACCTCAAGTGATCTGTAAACAAATACAAATAAGGGGTCTCCTGTTTGTAATGGAAGTAATTATCCAGGGGGCTGGTGATTACTGGTTGCTAACCTGAGAAGGTGGATTTAGCAACATCAAAGGTGCAAACAAGAAGCCTTTCCCAAGGAGATCTAACAGCTCTAATTTCTTAGCTACGGGCTGAGTATCTGAAATTTTTGGTTTGTTTTAGTTTTGGGGGTTTTACTGGTGGTGGTGGTAGTTTGTTTTTTACCTCCAAGCATAGGGTCTCCTCAAATGCTCCATGTTGATTTGGATTTTCTCAAGAATTTGGCTTATGCTTTGGCCAGTAACCAGTCAATCACCAACCAAGACATACTAGTATCAGAACTGTATTTGTGCTTTGCCAACAAGAAAAGAGAATGCATTTGTTTTCTTTTCACTTTTTGCTTCCTAGTATTATCCATGATTGAAGAAAGTAATTCCTTCCCCTTTCTCAACACTTCAAAAAGGCCTGGGAATTTGGCATGGCCTTGTGTGACTGTGTTTTAAAAGGAAGTAATCACAAAACAACCTCAAAAAGAAAAATGAAGGTCATGGTCAGTGCCAGTGGGACTGGGAGGCAGGAGCAAGTTGCACAACTCAAAAAGAAGTGGGGCTTGAAGTACACAGCAGGGGTAGGGGACCGGGCTGCCTGACACCCCAAAGAAAGGCTGTCAGAATAGGAACCTTCGCTTAAAAGGCTAAGTGAAGTCCAGTCCAGCTGTAGCAGGGGATACTATTCAGTACACAGCCATGGATTACTGCAAAGGAAGGGCAGAGAGACGGCTATTAGCCACAGATCATTGCCAGGTTGCCTCCAACTCTCGCTCTGTTGCTGCCCAAATGCCACAGGCCATTGTGCCTCAAGGCCCTGACAATGGAAGCTTTCTACTTCAAAGGGGTTCCCAAAGCCACTATCAGAGGGGACCTGTTGTAAAAATTAGAGCTGGGATATTTAAAAAATATCGAACCCTTAGACTAGAGAGAAGGTTAAAGATCTTTCAAGGGCTAACACCTCTTTTCTTCCCTCCAGTTGACAGTCACACCTCTTGTTGGGGATGCATGCAAAATGCACATTAAAATCATTATCACAGCCACCAAATAGACTAGAAGACTCATCCCAGAAAATCCCAAGCGCTGAATTCTTTGACCAGTCAGTTTGGTCTCACCTCATTAGTATGGCAGGGAGCCCCTGGAAAATGACCAAGGAGATGCTGAAACCTGTAAGTCTATTACTCAAGACTCTAGGCTGGTAACAATATTCAGGTTTATTCTCCCTTCTGCATCTGTGGGGTACCCAGAGATAAAGAGGGGAAATTTATGCTCTTTGCTCCAGCAATTGTGTTTTATGGGAAGAGCTTGGTACAAATAAATTTGTTACCAACTTTTGACACAACTTGAGTATGGTTACTCTGAGAGAATGAAAGCCGGAAAGGGCTGAATTAAGAGGCCAGATGGAGAAGGCATCCTTCCAGAGCCCTCTGAGAAGGGGCTGTGGGTCCTAGGACTAGGGGAGAGGTCAGGAAGGACCAGTGTGTGGGAGGCAGAGACGAAGGAGACAGCCATGCTGGCAGGTGCTTATCCAGCCACGGTGGATGCAAATACCTCAGGGAAACAAGCAGCAATGAGAGTTTGAACTGGGAAGCTGGTGGTGAGGAGTAGCAGTAACATGTTACAGTCTGGTAAGGATGGGGATGAGAGGGGCATGGACAGCTTGGGGTGCTAGGAGGGGGACTCAGATGTGGGATGCATCTCCAAGCCACGTGACTGCTGACTTCTTGACCAGAGGCCAGACATCATCCTCTGACTCTCTCAGGCATCTATAAACTTTTGCCAGAAAAAAGTGGAGGGCAGGGGTTGTATGGCCCTCCAGACATGTTAAGGGGGAATTAGGGAAAGGGAGGCCCAGCTCTGTTGCACAGGAAAGGGCGCATCTACAGGAAGCCCAAACTGAAAATGAAAGGAGAAGTTGGGTTAATAAATGGACAGATTTATATACTAAAAAAATTTTCAGAAGAAAATCATTAAGGTCATAATGACTAATGGATAAATTAGAATATAGCTATGTTAGATGGTCTTAAGATTTTACTGAATTGGCTCCTGGGAACATGCTTTCTCTCTCATGTACCCCCCCCCCCGTTCCTAAATGGCAGAAGTAATGGCATTAGATAGCAAAAAGTGACCAACAACCACAAAAATACTTTTAAAAATCTCTTCTTAATTACTAGGTCCTGACTAATGCTTTCTCCACCCCAGATATCTGTGGCAAGAAGACTTTCAGTAAGTCTCCAGTAGCCTCAGGCCACTACATAGAGCACCAAGCTCTCATCCACTGCACTTCCTTGTCCCACAGAGAAAGCACAAGAGGCTGGTTTCAACTTGGACATCCTCTGGAACAGGCCCAGCCAGCCAGCTGGTACTCTGGGGCAAGACCTGTTTGCCAAGTGTCTGCTGGATGGGTCCAGACCGTTACCTAAAAAGTTGAACTTTAGACACCTATTAATGGTTTGTGTTCACAGAGCAATTTGACCTTTCTGCCATTTAAACTTCATCCCTATGTCATAAATAAGTCAAGTAGTATTGATCCCTATGTCACATATGAAGAGACTGAGACAGAGAAACCAACTGACTTGCCTGTGGTCACAAAGAAAGTGTTACAACTAGGGTGAGAGCTGTTTAATTATTTAATTAAGACTCTCTCCATCATACCAGTATCCCAAGAATTCCTTGGCTGTGGATCTAAGCCCATTTATTACCTAGAGAATATATGTATCCCATTAAATAAGGGCTATTAAATATTTGGAGTTTAGTTACCTAAAAGTATATACATAAATGAAAATGTGATTCATTTCCTCCAAGTGAATACATCTACCCTCCAACACACACACACACACACACACACACACACACACACACACACACACACACACTATGGCGATAGATACACAAATGCACCCATCGGGTGAATGCAGTTTATACCAGGAATGAGAAATTCTGTGTTCTGGTTGTAGTTCTGCCACTAACTCACTGTGCAATCCTTGGTAATCCCTTTTATCTTTCCCTCCTCTACCTCTCAGAACTGTGGTAAAGATGAGATATTATATAGAAGAACGTTTTGAAAAGTAATCAATAAATGCTATATGAATGCTTGCCTATTAATTTCTTCTTTGTCCACTTCCTAGGGGAAGAGTAACCAAAAAAATCACAGCAATGACCTACATTCTCGGCTTTGTAGAAAGGCAGTGATGTTTTGATAATGTGTATATTGTCCATATGCTGTGTACCCCAAGGATCAATAACTATCACAACACAGTATCTGCAACTGAGTCATAGAGGAATTTCTTTTACAATTACATACAGCTGCAAGTAGCCTCAAGGAAGGTCAAAGTTAGAGAGGAACAGTAAGCCTCACTCTGCCTGCACTGTAGGTGGCCATTGTGACCTACGCCTCAGATGAGGGCTCTGGGGAGGAAGTAGTTGCCTCTGCTGCTCTTAGGTCCTGGGAAGCCAATGCTTCCCCTGATTAGTTCCTTTAGAAATGCTTTTGTGTCCTACTGGGGGAAAACTCACCAGGAGAAGCCAACCTACTTGGTGTTGGGGTTGACTGTTCCAGCGGTCTACTGGTTGCCTCTTATTTGTAAAGTGTGCCTTTAATCACAGTTTTTCTAGAATTCACTTTAGGAGTGGACACTAACAATGATGTGCTCAGGGAAACCTGAATGAAATCATGTCAAGCCATGCACGAAACCTGAATTAACTGAAGTCAAATTCACCAAAATACATCTTTCCTGCTCTCCTCGGTGAAACTGGGGGAACAATGAAAAGCTGCAAGAACTACACTCCTACTGTGTGGCAGATGGTTTGCTAGGCACTGGGACTTCAGCAGTGCACAGATATTCTAGGAATTTATAGTCTTCCTAAATGGAGAGCTGCTGTTTAATTCCAGTCAGCTAGCAGGGGCTCTGAGACTTGCCTGTAAGCCAGACAGTACATCATTACATTATTCTTTTAGGATGATTTCTTTTGGCCCAGTTTCATGGGTCTTGTGTTCCAGAAGCTTCCATGGACTTCCTCTTTGGGATTTGCTTGAAAGTAGGATGTTTTGCCAGCTGTCCAATGTCCCCAGTGCAACAGCTGCAGCAATCAGTTTGGTGACTAACAGCAGGCTCTCCAGCTAACTCATAAACTGCATGGGTGAGTGGGGAGAAGGCTTCTCAACAGTTCATATTCTCCAATCCAAACAGACCAAATGTAAAAAGGAATTTATGAGACAACTGGGGCATTTCAAACACTGATAAGACATTTTACATTAACAAATTATTGTTAATTTTGTAGGTATGATAACAGTGGGCATGTGGTTATTTTTTAAGAGTCATTATCTCAGAGATACATACTAGCTTATGTACAGATGAAATTATATAGGCTTTGCCTTACAATAATCCAGCAGGTGGGGGTAACTGATGAAACATATATTTTTTGTTTTGCTTTGTTTGTGGTACTGGGCACTGAGCTACATCCCTCACAGCTTATAAATTTTTTAAAATTTTGAGACAAGGAATCACTAAGTCACTAAATCGCCTAGGCTCAGCTCAAACTTGCAATCCTCCTGCCTCAGCCTTGCAGAGTGCCCAGATTACAGGCATGTGTCACCATGCCTGGCTGGATTGGACATATGTTGATGGCTATATGGTGGCTGGGTTGTGGGTCCATGGAGCTGCATTGTACTATTTTTTTATGTTTGAGAGTTGCCATGGTAAAGTTTTAAAATAATAAATAAGCCCAATTATGTTAAATTTAAATCATTTATATTCCTTGTCTATTACCTGAGTCTAGCAGAGTAGATAAAATGTACCTAATCACTGCTTTCTCCCTATAATCACTGCTTTCAGTCTCCTTAGAAGCTATGTGGTGCCAATGACTGCTTTATTTACTTCTGTAGACACAACACCTAGCCCTCAGCAATACTTCTTACCAAAGGTTATCTGCTTGCCTCCTTAGAAGGTTTGCATGAAGCTGGCACTTGTAGAATTAAGTGTTTATATCTGAAGTCTCTTTATTTTCTTCCACTTTGATTATGGTTTTGGGAGGTACACAGCCAAAGGAAACTGGAGAACCTGAGCCCCTCAGATAAGAAACAGCCACCAGAGGAAAAAAGATGCAAGTTTCCATTGGCTCTGCCTATTCCCAATGTGAGGGTAAGTGCTGACTGGAATACTGCAGGAGGAGGCTTGTAACTGCAGGATGGTTTCTTGCATTACCACAGTTAATTTTGAAAGTAAGGATTGTCGCTCTTTAGAGGAAAAAACTGCCACAATTGAAACCTGAAATACTGATCACAGGATCCACCTATGCTATCTAGCTGTTCTAGCAGCAGAAATCTGAAAACTCTCCCTTTGATCAGACAGGCAGGCAGGCATTCACCATGTACACCTGAAACCACACCAGGCTATTTCTTCATACCAGAAGTCACAAGAGGAAACCAGCTACCTCAGTGAAGCCATTTCTTATTTGATTTGATATGTAGGGGGTGCAGGGTTTGGGGAGATATGTTCCAGAAGCCATTGCCAGTTCTACTTAGAGTTAATAAAGCTTACCAGGACCCTGGGTCTCATGCAGCATGCAGCAAACAGCAGAGTTAACTGTAAAACAGTAAGAGCTGATGAAGATGGAGTGAGCATGAGGAGAAATAAAATATTATGAATTGACACAAACAAAGAACAGTTAGAGGTCAAGAGAGATCAGGAGTAGAGGGGAGGGGAGGAGGGAAGAGGGACTGGTAGGAGCCCCTGAAACACTATACTCTTTCTGAATCTATTTAAGGCCAGCCAAAGGAAATTCTGAGTATGTGACTATTAGATCCAACCACCATCTCTCAAGAACTGCTATGACCACCATGTCTATGCTTAAAGCCCACCACCATCACTATGGGAGCAGAATGGCACAGGTTTAACTGTGGTTCTTCCAGAAGTTCACTGATTCTTCATGGAATTACATAAGGAACCCATACCTGGGGCCACTTGTACATCTGGAAGTATAGAAAAGGACAGGCTATTTTGTTAGGTGGTTATTGCTAAAATGAGGTGCCACATTTCAGCAAGAATTTTACCCATCTCAGAACTGGGCACAGTCACCATTCCCAAATATTTCTGGAGAATGGAGAGAGGTGTCACTCTATATAGTGTCTTCTGGCTGGGGTTGAGAGGGAAGCCAGTCAAGGGGAAAGCCTGGTCTGAAAGGAGCTTTCACTGAACATCTTTTTATTTATCTATCTATCTATCTATCTATCTATCTATCTATCTATTTATTTACTTATTTATTGGTACTGGGGATCGACCTCGGGACCTTGCACTTGAGAGGCAGGCAGCAGCACCACTGAGCTAAATCCCCGGCCCTCACTGAACATCTTAAAGAGGGAATGTTTATAGCTTAGTGTTAGTGTGGTCTAAACAAACTATGCAGTCTCCTAATTCCTGCAAGCAGACTGTGAAACTGCCCTAGAGATTGAGTTCACAAATACCACAGGACTATAAGGGCAGCAGGTAAGAGCTGAAAGATAAATTTAGATTTTTCTGATCCACAGCACCACACACACAAAAAAATCAAATTTAGATTTTTCTGATCTTAAAAACAGGAATCCATTCCTGCTGGTACATCTGATACACCACGACAGATAAATTAATATATTGTGTGTCCAAAGAGACTTTCATTTGGCTAGTTGAACTTTATCCATCAGGTAATATCAAAAAATTAGTTAATCAATGAAACTGACATTTAGTGTTAAGATTCAATAATGAAAATTTCTGGACAACTTAGTGAAAATGTTTGAACTACACATTTGTTAGTCAAATGTGAATAACTGGATTGCAAAACTGAGTGCTTTCAAAAATAAGCTATTTTACAGTATACAAAGTCACTGTGTTATTCCTAAGTGACAAGCCAGGCATTGATGAAAGGAAGATGTTTCTTCCTTCTGGCAAGAATCCAAAAGTTAAGTCCACAAACAAGTGGCTAAAAACAGAAGGCAAGGCCCACAGACATCTTTTGGATCCAAAGAACCCTTTAGTAAGGACATTGCTAAACCCTCCATCTGGGAGTTCCTTGAGTCACAATGTGCAAACAAACAACTACAGAGTACCAGGGGAAGCCTGGACATTTTCCTGGTGTTGTGCAGGTCTGACCAGAAGTGCTTTTCTCTTCTCTGGTTCTGAGATGAGGAATGGGTAACTTCATTGAGCATTGACGGGGGTGGGAGCCAGGCTATTGACCCAGTGGTAACCAGGAGCTTATGCTGTCCAGCCTTACCAAATACCAGGGGAGATAGATTGGTTTTAAAATCATGCCTCCAGTTTAAGGATGTGATACCTGGAGGACACTGGCATCTGAAGGCTCCCTAGTAAGTTCTCAGTTCCCCAGGCTGGGCACAATTAAGCAGCCAGCAGAGACAGTTAGTGAAGGGTGGGAAATCAGGGCTGGGCTGGAGCCTTCAGTGGCAGCAGGTAAATTCTATTGGCCACACCTAGTGACAACTGAGGCATGGTGAGGGCGGGGAGAGGTGAGCCACGTTGGACACAGCCAGCAGGTGGGCCTATATGCTACATCAGTGCCAGCTCCAGCTCCAGGGGGTGCCCAGAGGCTTCTGTTAAAGGGCTCTCTTTCTTCCACTACCCTGTATGTGCCCTTCCTTTTGTTCCTCTCTTTCTTCTACCTCTGCACTGCTCACCATTTCCTCCTTCCATGTACTTTCACATTCCCTTTGCTTTTCCTCTCCTTTCCCTTCCTCTACCACCCCGATGTTTGCAGAGCTTTCCTAAGTAAGCTAAACAGAGGGGCTGGGCCTCGAAGACCATGTGCCTACTCTACTCTTGGCAACCCTAATTCAGGGAATCCAAAGGTCCCACAAGGACACCGAGACCAGGTACAGGTACTCGAATTAATTACCAGCCCCCGGCTCACACCTGGTCATCAGCCGTCATTCCTCTCAGCCTCCAGGTCCTGCCCCAGGGGAATGAGCAGCAGGAGGAGAAAGAAGCCCACCACCCCAGAACAGCCTGCTACTTACTTTTTCTTCTCTTTGTCTCTTTTCAGAGTCTGTGAGCCTCCAGCCTGGGAACCCTGAGACTGGAGGAGCTCGGCCGCAGTCTTTCTCTGTTTGAAAGCATTCACTTCATCGTCCAGAGATTTCTTCTTATCCTCCAGCTTCTTCTTCTCATCCTGATGCAGTTTCTTTAGACGGTCAAACTTCTCGTGCAGCTGACAGAAAAACCAACAAAAGCCTACAGAGTCCTCCACAAGCAGCCCCCAGTCTGGCCCAGCCCAGGATTGGGAGAATAGCAGGGCTGCAACCCCGCAGGACCCCGGGACCTCAGGAGACATTTCTGCCAGGGGCCACCATGACAGTGCCAAAGGGCGCCATGCTGTGGGGTGTTCTCTCGCCTGTCATCTTGTCTCAAAATCCCTGCTCCTGAAGTAGTAAAGGAATAGTACATTCTGCCTAATCAAAGATTTGTAAATGAATCCTCATGGTTATTTTACATGGTTAATAATATCACTTATAATACTATAATATTTACCAAGTGCTTATGACAGGCCAAGCATTGACTTCTAAGAAATAATTTTTATTATTATTTTTTGCCCAGTGCGAGGATGGATCCCAGGGCTTTGTGCATGTTAGACAGGTGCTCTATTACTGAGCTACAGCCCAACACTTTTATAAGCACCTGATATGTATTAGTTCATTTAATCATTACAACAATCTTATCAACAGGTTCTGCTACTATGTCCTTTTTCATTTTCAATCCTTTTTTTTTTTTTGCTGTGCAGGGATTGAACCCAGGGTTTCACACATGCTAAGCAAATGTTCTACCACTGAGCTACATCCCCAGCCCTTTTTCTTTTCTTTTTTTTTTTTTGGTACCAGGGCTCGAACTCGGGTCCTTGCGCTTGCAAGGCAGGCAGTGGAACCACTGAGCTAAATTCCCGGCCCTATTTTCTTATTTTGAGACAGGATCTCACTAAGTTGCCCAGGCTAGCCTTGAATTTATGATCCTCCTGTTTCAAACTCCCAAGTACTGAAATTATGACCGTGGCATGCACCACAGTACTTGGTCATGATGTCCATTTTATGAGGAAACATGAGGTATGAGAAATTAAGACATTTGTCCAAGGTCAAACCATTCTTTAGAGGATTATAAAACGGTATTTCCAACATGGAAGGGGCTCCTTCCCTTTCCTATCTGCGTGGGGTGCGTGTGTGTGTGTGTGTGCGCGCGCGCGCGTGTGTGTGTGTGTGTGTGTGTGTGTATGGTACTGGGGATTGAACTCAGGGCCTTCACACATCCCAGCTTGCTTCCATTTCTCCCTCCCTCGCTCCCTCCCTCCTTTCTTTCCTTCCCTCCCTCTTTTCTATTTTGAAATAAGGCCATGCTAAGTTGCTAAGCTGCCCAGGCCAAGCATGAATTGGGATTCTCGTGCCTCAGCCTCCCACAGTTTCCTGCCTTTTCTTATCCCCTGCAATCAGGAAGGCTCATTATGGATCACAGAGAAAACTGCAACAATAGCAAAGCTGGTCAAAGGAAATAGAGTAAATCTGGAAACCTCAGTTTTAACCAGAGGGAAGACTTAACTAGTCCTGAAAAAAAGCAGAGACCCAAAGAACAGCAAGTGTGTTCTGGCACTCACTGTGATAAGTTGATCAGAGAGCAAGAGGCATAGAATGTGGAAACTTCCCTGACCAGTAAGAGCAGACTAAGCAGAGTTTCACCTCCTTTTGAGGATTCAGGAGAGAATTTAGGATTCTGCAACACTTGCAGCGCATAAAAAGCAGATCAGTTCCCCGATTCCTATGGATATCTGGGACTGTCACTTAGTAAGGTAGGGGAACGACAGGCTTGCCGTCCTAACCAGCTTTTACTAGTCATGTGAGGTAGGGGCATCACTTGGCTGCCTATCAGTTGCTTTCACCTGTCTTTACTTCATTGCAACTTTGAGTCATTTGTCTTTGAGGCCCCCCATGGCCTCTCCTCCTAAAGATCCTGGGTGATGTTTTCTCCTTAAAAGTGAAACTGAAATAAAATCAATAACCTTGCCATAGGCCTTAGTGATACCCTCGAGAGTCACAGTAGACTAAAGGTGGAAGAGAGTTGGGAAGTAATTAAGTGCTTTCCTTCCTTGTGGTTGTTCGATTTGAGGCCCGGAGAGGTGAAGCAGCAGCTGACATGACGAAAACTATACCTTATGCCAATTAATCTGGGGCCTTGGAAGCAATGGATTAGAGGATGAATCGCACAAGTTTAAGCAGGACCATCACACCACATTTGAAAACTTCACTAGAGCTGCACAGATTTTCCTCAACTCTGAAATGGAACCAAATATCCAAGTGAATGGGAAATGCCCCAACTGTTGCTGTTTTAGGTTTCAGCAAAGTACCCAGGATTGGCTGAAACCAGCTTTCCTCGTGGCCATCATAGAAGGTGGGAAGGGACAAGTCAGCCTAGAGAGTTATCAATTATCCCTACAGAGCTCCAGATTCCCGGGACAGAGAAACAAGTCAGCCTGCACCTGACTGCAAGTGCTTGACTCTATGGCAGTGCTGACTGACCGAACTTGCTGTGATGCTGGAAATGTTCTGTATTCGTGCTATTCAGGATAATAGCCACTAGCTACATGAGGAGTGAGCATTGAAATGTGCCTCACAGTGAGGAACTGAGTTTTAAATTTTACTGTGTATTAGCCGACAGTGGTGATGCGTGTCTATAATCCCAGAACTCTGAGGGGCTGAGGTAGGAGGATCCTAAGTTCGACCCCAGCCTGGGCAACTTGGTGACTCAGTAAAATCCACTCTCAAATTAAAAAAAAAAAAAGGGCCAGGATGTAGCTCAGTGCTACAGTCTCACTTGAATATCTGGTTCTGGGCTCAACCCCCTTTCTGCAAATAATAAATAAATTTATTTTATTGTATATTTCAAAATTGCTAAAAGAGTAATTTTAAATGTTCATCACAAAAATGATAAGCATAAGAGGTGATAGATTTATTAACTAGCTTCATTTAATCATTCCACGATGTTAACATATATTCAAACATGTGGTACCCCATAAATATATACAATTATTATTTATCAATTAAAAATACTTTAAAAACTCACAAAAATTTAAATAGCCACACTCAGCTGCTGGCTCTAGAAAATTAATACGAAGATGAAAAAACATCCTGACCTTGGAGAATGAAGGGTGAAGAAGACACAGATTTCATAGTCCCCTCTGACCATTCCTGCCTAAGGCTGCAAGCCCCTGCCCAAGGCCAAAGCCCATCATGGACTTCCACGCCAAGCTTAGCCTCCCTTTCCTTCCTGCCTGCACCCAGGCTCATATTTACCTCTTTCTCTGCTTCTTTAAGCTCCGCTTCTTTCTCTTTGACTCTCTGGACAAACATCTGTCTCATCTCCTCTTCTTTTTTCTGCAGCTCCCCTAGGAACTCGTTCCTTTTGGCCTCATATGTCTCCTGCAAACTGGGAACATGGTCAGGTTAATTCCTTCACACTCACTGGCTCCTCCTCAATGGAAACTGGCCCCGAGCATCCTCCCCTGAGCTCTGATGTCCTCCTTTCCCCAGTTTGAGCAGAAATGGCGAAAACAGAACCCCAAAAGTAGTGGGCAGTCGCCTTGGCACATGAGAGCAGGATCACAGGGCTGCTCGACGGGCATGAGGCAACCCTGGTGAACTAGAGAGACTTAGAAACCTGGGTCCACTTTACAAATGAGGAACCTGAGGCCCAGAGAGGTGAAGTGACTCACTTCACACAGCTAATTAGAGGCAGCACTGAGACCAGAAGCTAGATCTCCTGTTTCTTCATCTGGGCCTTCTCACTGTGCTATACTGCCAGGCCCTGGTTCTGAAACTGCCTGCATTATCTTACCACTTCCACCACCACTTTGAGTCTCCACCCTGTGCCAGACACTGTCCTAACTGACACTACTCTAACAGCCCAGCACCTATAGCCAACAGCTACCACTCCTGCCCTTGAAGAACTCACAGTCTAGTGGGAGCTGCCTGGGCGAAGGCCCTCTGCCCCTGTCCTGGATTTACATTTCAAGAAACAGGAGTTAGCCTGGTGAGGAAAAAGGGGGACTGGGCTCCAGAAAGGGCAGCACGTGTGAAGGCGCATGTGGAGAGAGAATGGTGTTCCTGGGTAGCTGGAGAAGACTTCGTAAGCTGAGGAGGGTTGGGGTGGGGGGTTCCAGAGTCTGGCAGGAAAGGTCAGGCTTTAGATGCCCTGCGAAAGAACGAGGCGAGGACCCACTACATAGTTTAAGCAAGACTGACTGGATCCAACCAAAAAGTGAGAAGACCACTTTGGCTGTTTTGTGAAGGAGACACTTTCCAACAGTTCAAGTACAAAATGGCAGGGTCTCCATGTGAAGGGAGGACAGGGAATGGAGGGAGCTGCAGAAACAGCAGGGGAAGCAGGACTAAGGAGGGGGCAAAGATGATTCTGGTTTTTGACTTGAACAACCAAGTGGATGGTGGTACTGTCAAGCATAATGGAGAACACTGGAGAAAGAGAACACTCAAGAGGGAAGAAGATGAATCTGACGTGAATAGCTCAAGTTTAAGGAGGAGCTTCTATGGGATGTCTGAGTAGAAATGCCTAGTATGTACGTGGATCAATGGGTTCACAGCTCAAAAGTAAGATTTTAGGGCTGGGGATTTAGCTCAGTGGTGCCGCCACCTGCCTTGCAAGCGCAACGTCCTGAGTTTGATCCCGGGTACCAAAAATAAATAAATAAATAAACGTAAGATTTTAGCTTAAGAGTTATCTACTTCCAGGAGATAATTAGGGCTATAAAAGGAGAAAGAATGAGCTGCAAAGAGAATAGAGTGAGAGGAGCAGAGACTCTAGGAACATTTAAAGAGGTAAGCTGAAGAAAATGAACCTGCAAACAAGGCTGAGAAGGAATAGCGAGAGGAGAGGGAGAGAGAGGAATAAAACCAGCCAGATAAGTACTAGAAAAGCCAAGGCCAGATAGTAGCACAAGGAGGAGGCAATGGGGAATAGTATTAAGTGTTGCACATTAAGAGCAAAGATGATGGGACTCAAAGGTCACAATGAAATTGGCCCAGAGTTTGTGACTGCTGCTCTTGGAGAGGCGCTTCCATGGAGTGCTGGGGGAAGAAGCCAGACTGTACTGGGCTGAAATGGGAGAGGAGCAAGGAGGCTGGTAAACAAAGAACAACTCTTTCTCCTTCCTGTCAAGGCCTGGCTTCTTGACAGGACAGAGGCTGGCAAGGATGAGTGGGGTGAAGGGGATTTCTTTAGAGTGGGAATGTTTACAGGGAAGGTGGAAAGGGGCCCTCAGAGGAGGACTGAAGAGGATGAAGATTCAGGAACAGAGGTATGCTGGGTGGAGCAAAGGACAATGGGAGGGATCTGAATGGCCAATTAGAGGCATACTCCCTCTCCACAGAGGGAGCTAAAAGCTGCTCGAGGCAAGGAGAGGAACAGCTGAGGGAACTCCCACCAGAGAGACAAGCACACCTTCCTCCAGCCCAGGTGCTCCAGGGCCCTGTCCCAGCCTGTCCCTGCAGGGCTATGAGGCTGCGCAACTGAAGCACTAGCCCTGAAAGACCAGCTGCACTTTGCCCCAGGCCAGCTTTCTTTTTGTTTTTTGGTACCAGGGATTGAACTCAGGATGGTGCACTTGGGAGGCAGGCACCGGAACCACTGAACTAAATCCCCGGCCCCACCCAGGCCAGCTTTCTGTTGGGAACAGGTACCATGGGACCTCCCAGACCATTTGAAATCCCTCTGTGCCCACAAACATCCCCCTCACTTGCTTACTGATATCTGACATTTCCTGAAAGGAGACCAAGCCATAATAAAGGGCACCACACGGAACTACATGTAGGGCTTGTGCCACTTTTCACACATGTAGATCGGACACACTTCAACTTTGTCCCATCTGCTTAATAATCTGCTTTCAAAAGCATTTCCCTTCTCTAAAAGCATCTTAGACTCTGATTTGAGAAATATATCAATGATTATTCATATCCTGTGGCCAAAACAAAACTTGCACTTGAATTGCACACACTAAGGACAGTGAATAAAGAGCCTGTATGCACTAACATGGGGAAAATAACTCCTACTTGGTCGAAAGTGACTGCTACCTGGACCTTTCTTGTTGTTTTTTATTTGTTTGCCTATCTGTTGTTCTTGCAGTGCTAGGGATGGAACCCAGAGCCTCACATATGCTAGGGAAGTGCTCTAACATTAAGCTGCACCCAGCCTTCCTGTCTGGTTTTGAGAAGGGGGGGGGCGGTAAAGAACAGACTAGAAGAAAACTGGCTGGGCAGCAGGAGCCTAACCAAGGAAGTGGGGCAGTGGACAGTTACTAACTGCCACTCTGTGGAACAGGGTCCCCTCCCAGGACTCCCCTCCAGCACCGCTGACTCAAGTTGCCATGTGTAGGGTGAGGGGTAGCGAGAGATCAGCCATGTTGCTTCTCCAGGTCCCCTCCATTCCTTCACTACCCCCCAAAGCAGTGCTCCTGGCAGGTGTGTGAGGCCGAGAGGGAAGGGGCAGCAGAACTGGCGAGTCACCCTGCCACCAGAGCTACCATCCATGTCTTGCCTCTCCTGTCGACTTTCCAAGGAAAAGGGTTCCATAGCACCTGGGTGGCTGAGCCAGGCTGGCCTGGTCTGCCTGGCAGGAGCGGTACCTGAAGGGTTTGCTATCAGGGTCAGTGTCCTTGAAGCCCATCTCCTCCAGCTTACAACGGCGGTACAGCTCATAGTGCCGGGTATGGGTCTGCTCCCGAAGATCCTCCATGTTTACTCGAATCAGCATCTCCCGCAGCTTCACAAAGTCGCAGTGGGCCTCGTTTTCAACTGTACAGCAGAGGTTGGGATATTGAAAGTATATTGAAAGGAAGGCCAGCAGAAGCAGCAACAGACAACATGAGGCAAAAGTCTAACAGTGATATTGCTTTGTAATTGGGCATCTAGAGCCTAGGAATTTACCTCCTTATTTGCTTTTTCTACTGAAAATGGAAATGAAAAGTTATAAAAACGGCAGTAGTAAAAAATTGCAATATTGTAAAAATTACCTAAGGATCTTCAAAAGCCCCTCAACCCAAATTCACCAATCAGACCCTCATGGGAATGTCTGCCTGTGCCCCTTTGTGGACAAGCAGCACATGCATATCTAAGCATCTATTTGTGTAATCTCTGTTCCCATTATTGTATGGGGGCACTGGGAATTCAGAAACAAAGTCATGAAATCTTGCCCTCTGAAGCTTACAGTTTTGTGGAATAGATGCAAATAGACAAATATAATACAATGCAAAAATCACAAAAGTGGAGGGATAGCTGAGGTACAATGAAAGCCCAGAAGAGGGACCCCAAATTCCAAACTCCTGGGAGAGTATAGGCCTCAGCAAAGAGACAACTCCTAAGATGACTATGGAAGGAAGAACAGGCATTTACCATGCCCATCTCTATGAGGTTGGCTAGCTAGTGAGTTGCAGAATTAGGATCTGAACTCAGGCAATGTAGGGGAGGGCTAATGGCTATGACCAGGTGACCAAGTCTCCAAAGGACAGGGGGAAAGAACTAGGATATCAATAAATAATAGTAACAAGAGGGGGTAGTCCACAGGTATATCCCATCTGGACAGTAGAGGCTTCCCAAGAGGTCAGCAGAGGGTAGATAATGGCCTGACAGCAGCAGTGATGACCAGGAGAAAGTGGAATCTACTTTCCAGTGTGAATAAACAAGCCTCTACCTCAAGAGAGCATGGCAAAGGTCTACGTTTTGGGCAGTGGTCAAGAATGACAGAGATATGGACTAAATCACAGGAAAATAGATTTCTGGCTGAAACAGAACATGGCAAGCAGTGCTCTATGAGGGTGTCCTCAGGCACAGAGCCACTGAGCTGGGTGGTGGCATTTGGCCTGACCCTGTAGGGACGGTGGTTTCTGAGATGATGAAGAGGATCGGTCACCCCAAATTCCATCTTTTTTTTCCAGGACCAGGGATCGAACTCAGGACCTTGTGCTTGCAAGGCAGGCGCTGGAACCACTGAGCTAAATCCCTGGCTCCCTAAAGAATTTTTAAAAATTAATACTGATGTTTCTACAACCCAGGTGAAATATTCCTAGTCCTTTCCCTTGGCCCCTTTCCGATCCCATCCTCATTTCCCCTGGCAATGAGTCTTAGCCACTATCTTGACTTCAAGGTTTAACATTCATTTTCCTTCCTTTATAGTTTTACCACTTATATATGAATTTCTAAAAATATATACTGGATCTTGTTTAGTTTTGCCTACTTTTGGAATTCATAAAATGCAATTCTCTGATTTATTGAGCTCAACATTATGTTTCTGAGACTCACTTATGGAGATGCAACTGTAGTTCATTAATTTCACTGCTATATGATTTCTCATTTATGACTATTTCACAATTTACCCAGTGTATTTTTAGCAGATATCTGGGTTGTTTCTAATTACTTGTCATGTTGAACAACACTGCTATGAACATTCTCGTACATTCCCTGTGCCCTTGAGCAAGTGTACATGCTTTCTTGCACACTCCTTCCTTGCTCTAAATCCATTTGCTTATGTTTTAGGAGTGCTTTCTCCACTAGAGACAAAGAGGGTGGGCTCCCATCAGAGGATCCAGGTGCGGAGCCAGAGTTTGCCTGCTAGTGACCCTTGTGGCTATTTGAGATCCAAGCTGAATGAGCAGAGCTGGGACAAATTAGGGATTTGTCATAAGTGGCTGGAAGAGGCAAAAAGGAAGATAGAAGGGGCTCTCAGAGTGCATCCCATGTGCTAGGGACTCACCCTGCACAGTGCCCCAAGGATACTGCCGCGCCTTCATCATCTTGTTGCCTATCTTCAGTTCTTCTGTGCTGCCAATGACAGCAAACGGCAGGTGGGCCTGAAACAGAAGGCAAACAAATGCTCAGAACTGCAGAGGAAAGCCACTGCACATCCCACAATGCAACTGCTGCTCATCTCCTGGGCCTTGAGCCCTCACTGTGCAATACTACTCACTGCTGTCATCATCCAGAGGCACTGATTAGGCTCCTCAACCAACCACGTGGGGACAAGAGGCCTCGTCTTAGCTCCTGCTGCTCGGAAATTCACAGTAGATAAGAATGACATAGTTGAATGCATAGGGAGCAGACAGAGAAAACAAGCAGAATAATAAGCAGACACACAGATTAGCAAGCTTTTCACTCAGCAGAGCTGCAGTGAGGGGAAGAGCCTTGGGAAGGGTTGGGGGAGCATGTGGGCAGAGACGACAAGGGAGGCAGCAAGGGCTGCGATCTTGGCCCTTCTTCCTCCCAGAGCTGGAGAGCCCTGCAAACGGGTACATCCTGGAGCCACATGGCGGGCTGAGCCATGCTAGCCTTGTTCTAGTCCTTCCCTGGATCAAGAGCTCGCATTGATCCTTTGAGGGCAAGTCACCAGGTATCACCCACATGCCATGCCTATGCTGATTTCTGTTTTACTACAAGACATACTCCCTCACCCTCTGGGAACTGATAGTCATGCTGGTGAAGCCTGAATTACAGACCAGCAACCATAAAGACAATATGGCGTGGTGGTGCGTGCCTGTAATTCCAGCACTGGGGAGGCTGAGGCAGGAGGATCACTGTAAGTTCAAAGCCAGCCTGGACTACATAGTGAGTTCAAGGCCAGCCTGAACTACGTAGCAAGACCCTGTCTCAAAAAAAAAAAAAAAAAAGGCAATATGTGACCCACAGTTTAAATTATGGTCTGGTGCCCTAGACATAGTAGGTGATTAATAAATCCTCCTTGAATGGCAGTGGCAGGGCTAGTGGAATAGGAGTGAGGAAAGAAAGGGAAAGCGCAGAGAAGGGTATGAGCTTGGTGCTTGCAGGGGAGATGAGGAGCAAGGCCTGGCTGCCAAGAAGCCTTGGTGCTTGAAAAGGGAGCTGTCCCCAGTTGACAGTGTGGGGACTGGGAAATGCTCAGGGAATGGGCCAGTTTATATGTGCCAAGTCACCACTGGCCAAACAGAATGGCCGAGCAGATGTTTACAGACCAGATGAGTCCAGGCAGGGATTTGTACCAAAAAATGACAAGTCCAGTGACATGATCTTTCTTAGTCAGTTCAGAGAAACAGGTCACAGTCTCAGGTATTTTCACCTGTTTGCTGATTTACTCTGCAAAGTGTCACTGGGCTCCTACTATGTGCTGGGCATTAAGAAGATTACAAGGTTGAAGAAGCATAGAGCCTGCCCCTGGAGAGTGCCAGGGTGTGTGGTGGTGGTGGGGGACATGCCAGTAATGGCAATGCAGTCGGTCAGGGTTGTAAACAGGGGCTCAAAGCTCGAGGAACACAAGGGAGAGCATAACTAACTTCACATGGAGTCAGAGAGGGCACTGCAGAATAGACAGCAGCAACTGTACTACCACTGTTAGCCACTGTAGAATTGGTATAGACAGAAGCAATTTATTAGGGGCTATGCACTATGTACCAGGTGCTTTACACTGTGTTATCTCATTGAGTTTCCCAACAACATCATGGGGGAGGTAGTCTTATTGTCTCCATTTTAGAGATGAGGAAACTGAGGCCCAGAGAGCTAAGTGACTTGCCAGCAGGCACACAGTTCAAAGGGCAGAGGTAATATGGGATCTGGTCTCTGGTTTAAAAGCCCACCCCTCGCTTGCTTGCTGCTCCCACTTACGGGGCCCAAGCAGCTGCTGAGGTGAGCACTCGAAGCCCTGGGGTGAACTGGTTGTGCAAGGCCAGATTATAAGAGGCAGTTCCATTCTGGGAAACCCACAGCTTGCTGACTTAATCTCCATGCTGATCTCCCAGCCGATCCTTCCTCTCCCTTCTTTTCTAGTTCTGGACTCCCAGAATGTTCTCCAGAGCACAGAAAATACAGGAGCTCAGCTCCAAGACATCCGCCAGGGGCTGGGCCAGCAGCTGAAGCTGCTCTTCCTTTACCCTCTCCCTCTGCCAGCTGCCCAACTCAGAGACTCACCAGCCCCTTCCCATTCCACCGACCATCCCTGAAACAGGACACAGAGAAAAGGGAATGCATGAGTCATGGATATGGAAAGTGGGTGTAGGCTGGAGGTAGGAAATGTTTGATTGATCCTAATATCAATGCGGTAAACTGGTATGGAATACAGGGACACTTGTGGGGCACTGAATTCCTGAAAATGCTGCCCAAGGGCCTAAGCAGCTCTAATCTGGCTTCATGGAAGGGTCATCTAGGCACAATTCATTCCCACTCAGGGACCCACGAGATGTTAGGAGCATCAAATCTACTCCCACTCATTTTCTGGGAAGATGTTTCCCTTGCAGAGACAGAAAGCTTCAGCCATATGACACAAAAGAGCTAAGAGGCAGAGACGGCAGAGGTCTAGACTGAGGGAGGAGGCGAGAAAGAGAAACTATGTTATACTGGCACTCATCCTGGGCTCTTGTATCTAAGTGATGGAGGAAGACGGTGGAGTGTAAAGTGGGAGGCACTGCTCCAGGCTCAAGAAAAAGGAGGAAAAAAACCCCAAAGAAAATAAAGGAAAATGCCAGTCTTCCCTTGGGCCTGTTATTTTCAACGTCAAGAGACACTGCCAAAATGACAGGGTCACTTGCTTCCCCTCGTCCTCAAACTGCTGTCATTTGATTCCTCTAGCTCCCTCCATGTTCTCAGCACACAGCCCCCACCAAACCGAATTCAGAGGCCTCCCAAGACCTGCCGACTGCATATGCCTTTGAAACCCACATTGGAGTCGGTTCCGACAAATGCATGTGAGTGGATCATTTCAGAGCACCCCCATTTCATTTGATTCTCGCTACATCCTTACAGGGCCTCATTCATGGTTGGACAGAACTGGGGTACAGAGAGGTTAAACATGTCACCCAGATCCCAAGCCTCCATGCCTAGATCCCAAGCCTCCACTCCTCTTCCCAGGAAGTGCAGAGGCCAATGCATTTTGGCTGCCAGCCTGCCCCAGCCATGCAGGGTGGCCTGTGCTCTGCCTCCTGGCTAAATGGCATCTGCTGGAAGCCAGCTAACCATGACAGGCAGGAACCCACAGGGATGAGGCTTTGAACCTCTCTCCTGCTGCTCTTGAGACACAGGTGGCTATGGCAACCAGAACGGAATCAAGCAGGGCAAGGAGAAGATAAACCCCCAACCACACTCCCAGGTCCTACCCAAATCTAAGGTCAAACTCTCTCTCCTTTTTTTTCCAGGGCCCGGAAGGAGACTGACAGGTGACATTTGTATGGGCGAACCCCGGGAGGATACTGGCAGCTGCAAGGCAGAGTAGCTGCTGACATCCAGACCTCTAAGGAGGTGGCCCCAGGTGTCAACTCTCCCAGCCACAGAGAGCTCCAACAGGAGACACCTTCAAGCCTCCCCTGGGCTATCTGCTCCCAGATTCACTACATGTCTCAATCTGTCCTGTGCTGCTACAAAACACCTCAGGCTGGGCGGAGGATTTAGCTCAGTGGCACCGCACCTGCCTTGCAAGCGCAAGGTCCTGAGTTCAATACCCAGTACCGGAAAACAAAACAAAACAAAACAAAACAACACCTCACGTTGAGTAATGTGTAAAGAACAAAGATGTGGGGCCAGGGATTTAGCTCGGTGGTGTTGCTGCCTGCCTCTCAAGCACAAGGTCCCGAGTTCGCTCCCCAGTACCAAAAAAACCAACCCCCCCAAAAAAAACCCCACAAAGATGTGTTTCTTTTAGTTCTAGAGGCTGAGAAGTCCAAGATAAAGGCACTGGCGCATTTGGTTGTCTGGCAGGGGCTGCACGAAGCCTCTGTGATAAGGACTTTAATCCCTGTATTGAGGGAACAGCCCTCTTGGTCTCTTAATGCTATCACACGGGCAACACTGGGATTTTTCAGGGGACACATTCAGACCATAGCACTACCTACGCTGTTTCTCAGTCTTCCTTAAATTCTTACTGGTACATTTTAAAGCTTTTCATGATCCAACTGGCATGACGTATTTTATCCTCAATCCACTACATCCATTATGCTTGGGAGAATCCATGAACATCTCCCCCGCCCGGTACTGGGGATTAAACCCAGGGAGGGCCTTCACACTGAGCTCCATCCCAAGCCTTTTTTATTTTTGAGACAGGATCTCATTAAGTCACTAAGTTGCACAGGCTGGGCTCAAACAATGCTCTTGCCTCAGCCTCCCAGAGTGCTGGGAGAACATTCTCTTTAGTCTCGTGAAATACTACTCTAGATCTTACCTGGTAAGAAGAGCTCCACTGAGCATGGCTTCTTCCAGGGCAGGCAGTGTTTCCTGGGTGTGGCTCATTATGCTCACCCCCACTTCAGGCTCCTACTGGTGGCTGAACAAAATCATTGCCCAATGTGCTCTCCTGTGAGCTCCTGACTTCTCCCGCAAAAAAGTACATGCGGGAATGGAAATTCCACTGCTATCTCAGGAGAAGGAATGGGCTTGAGCATGCTCTCCCCATGACCCCACTGCTCAGTCATGCGCTCTCACTGGGCCCAAGTGCCAAATGCCTTTCTGGGAACCAAACCTAGCACCTCACAAATAGCCAACCAAGCACAGTCAAGTACTGTAACTGGGTCTGTTCCTTGGTCCTTGGCTGTAATTTGAGCCATTCAAAGAACAATATTAAGTTTAAACAACATAGCAATTTTTAGTATATAAATCTACAACTTTTTTGTTTGTTTGCAACACAAGGGACTGAACTCAAAGACTCATGCATGCTCGGGAAACACACACACCCCTAGCCCTTTTTACATTTTATTTTGAGACAAGGTCTCACTAAATTGCCCAGGTGAGGCTCAAACTTGGGATTCTCCTGCCTCAGCCTCCTAAGTAGCCGGGATTATAGGCACACGGCAATGCACCCAGCTAAAAGTCTACAACCTGGAGAGAGATAAGAGCATGAGTTAAAAGTAACAGGCAACAAAATCTCTCTCCCTTCTCTTGCCCCCTCAATCTAAAATAAGGTTCCCCAGAGCCATAAGCCAAGAGGAGGCTGAGCCCTCATTACTTTCATTCCTGCGATGAAAACCCTGGTGGTGAGTGACAGGATGGCTGTGCAATCTTCTCCACACAGGCAAAGGGTGTCTTCCACTTCTTCCAACCTAGGTACCGTGCCAGTGGGTTAGGGGAGCTGAGGCCAGGGCCCTAAAGTCAAATCTAGATGTGAAAAGCCAGCACCCAACCTCCTCCTACCAAAGCCCAGGTCTCCACGATGCAGCTTCAGACACAAGGGCCCATCCAAAGGCTCTGCAGACATTTGGCACAGTTGTTCCAGAGCAGGCAGGCTACGGAATCCTGTGTATTTATTTTCTAGCAGTGACTCGTCCCTCCTCCCCCACCCCAGCACAGGCACCACGGAGGATTCCCAGGCAGGCCCGATTCCATGCCCGCAGGACGGGCGGGCACCTGGATACAGGCAATGCGTGGCCAGCCCTGTTCTAGGGATAACCCCGAGTGCACTCATATTTAGTTTTTCCAGAGTGAAACACTGGCAACGTCAGGCTGTTCTGAGTAACGCAACCCATAACCCTTCACAGCCATAACAGTGTGGTTGAGAGCTGCTACTCCATAGCATGGAGAGTTTCCAACCTCAAGGCTGAACCTGCCCTAGGCTCAAGCAGGAGGCCAGAGCTGAGCTGAGAACACAGCCCAGGATGATTGCTGCTCCTAATCCACAATGCAGTAAGATATACTTTTACGTGACACCTTGAGATTGCTGAGAAACCCGCCCCTGTTTGTCCTGAGCAAAGCAAACCACAAACCTGAAAGCTGCTGGGTGACTTAGGGAACCAGACTGTGGAAGACAGCTGGGGGCGATGTGCTGAGATGACTAGATATTCTTCTAGACACCCGTGCCAGGGGCACCAGGCAACCCTTCTCCCCAGGCTCCTGTGTTTCTGTTTTTGTTTTTTTTTCTGGTATCAGGGATCGAACTTGGGACCTTGCATTTGCGAAGCAGCCGCTGGAACCACTGAGCTAAATCCCCGGCCCGCTCCTGTGTTTCTGCCGGTGAGGCACCTCTCGGGCTTGCTCCTCACAACAGAACCTGTCTCCATCAAAATGCCCTGACTGCTGGCAGGACAAGCAGTCATCTTTTCCATGCCCACATGGGTCACAGAGGATGTAGCTCCACCTACCACAATCCACACAACCTTACCCTCGAGACGGATTTGTCAAAGTCGACAATGGACTTCTGATAACAAACCTATCTCTGTGGACGGATGGGTAGGAAGTCAGGCCTGAGACAATGACTTGCCACCCTGCTATGCTAATTTGATGGCCAATTCACAGGAGGTGGCAGCTGATGCCGTAATGATAACTTAGAGGGCAGTGGCAGCAGGAAAATTTTCTAAAAATGGCTTTTATTACAAGGCTTTCTTGAGTTTGGCTATCCCCAAGCATTATGTCATTAGGAAAAACTGAAGCCTCTCAACAGAGAAAAAGAAATCTGTTCCTGAAGCAGAGGCTTTCTGAAAGCTATTAGCTGTCTCCCTGAAATCATAACATTGAGGCTTTCACAGCAACAGCGTCAACACATTGTAAAGAAGCATGAGGAGACATTTGACTCTCTGCCTTCCCAATTACTCACTCCTCTAGTAGGGAGAAGTGGGGGAGGAAAGAAAAAAGGACTTTTTCAAATTCATTCACACTTAATAAAGCAAAGCACAACCTTGATATTTAACAATGACATCTCTCTAGTCACCAGCTAAACTGGAGACTATATATCAGTGCTCCTCCCAGGGGCAAAGGGCTTGATTATCTGAGTGCTGGAAGCCCAGTGACTTTGTCAGCCTTTTCACCTTTCAGTCCATCCATTGTCCTGGCATTGTTCTGCCTTTCCTGCATTCTCACAGGGGCTGCCTGGCCTAGCCCAAGGCAGATCAAAAAAGGTGGTGGAATGAGAGGTCTAAATTCTCTGCTCCACTCTGCCTGGAGTCTGCGTTTCCCTTGGGCCCTGGCCATTAATCTCTGCATCTCTAGTCTTTGTGGCAGCTACCACTAGGAGAGAGGAGCTGTTTTAGTTCTGGATTCTCTCTCATCAATACCTGAGACTCAGGTAATCAAGAGTCAACTACATGTGCTCTCTTCGGCAGCACATATACTAAGAGTCAACTACGTGCCAGACACAGTGGCACATGCCTGTAACGCAACTACTCGGGAGGCTGAGGCAGGGAGATTGCAAGGCCAGCCAAGACTTCATTTCAAAATAAAAAATCAAAAGGGCTGGGGATGCTGCTCAGTGTTAGAGCACTACTGGGTTTGATCCTCAGTACCAAAAAAAAGAAAAAAAGTCAATTACCCTAAGATAGCTGGTGAAGGTACATCAATGCTATTTTGTGAAATAATACTACAGAGTAAATGACCATAAAGTTGAGCCCCCAGGCTCCAACTCACATTCATGGTTCCGTTGATCTCTGCCACGGACTCATCATCTGTGGGGAACTGATAGATCTGAACCCCATTGCTGACAAGTTCACTGGTGATTTTGATTTTGAACTTTGTCAGCTCACTCTTAGAAATGGCATCTGATTTGGCAATGATGGGGATGATGTTCACCTAGGGAAAGGAGGAAAAAAGTGGTGTCGCTGTTAGTAACTGGCGCCTGATAGCAGCCTGTCTTGTCACTTTCTTATCACTGGGATAAAATACCTGACACCCACAATGTAAAGGACAGAAAGTTTATTTTGGCTCATGGTTTCAATCCATGGTCAGCTGGCTCCAAGACAGAAGCAGGATGACAGAGGGCATGGTGGAGAAGGTGCTCAACCTGTGGTGGCCAGGAAGCAGAGAGAGAAGGGAGGAGCCAGGGAGGGAGATATATCCTTCCAGATCACGCCTCGAACACCCAGGTCCCCTGACCAGACCCCACCTCCCAACAGCACATTCAACCATGAAAACACCAATGGACTAATCCACCGATGAGTACAGCACCCTGTGATCCAATCACCTTCCTAATACTGGAGGCTCTGGGGGACATTTAAATCTAAACCATAACATAGCATGTCCTAGGATTTCCACCAGCTGCTGGAGCGGGTAGCTCAGTCCATCGGTCTAGGACTGGCCACCTCTGCAGCCAAATAACATGCTAAGAAACAATAACGAGTACTTACTATGTTCTGGGCACTGAACTAAATACTTTATATGGATCAATACAATCTTGACAATAACCTTCCCAGGAGGTATCATTACTACTATTTTACCAATTGAGGTATTGAGAGGTTAAGTAACTTGTCCAAGGCCACAGAGCAGGTAAGTAGCATATCTGAGATTCAAATCCAAGTTTAGCTTTATTCCTAATTGCATGGTGTTAACCATGAGTCTCTACCCGCTCAGACCCAAGCTGATGAGCTATGTCGTATCTTGGTGCCAAGGTCACTGCTGAGGTGATTTGAAGCAGAGAGGTGAGACCTGGCAATCTGTGGCTGACAAGGGGAGAGGTGGCAGCTCCTTGCTAACAGTGAACTGTTCTCTCCACCCAGTGTAGCTGGGCTGGCCCCGGCCAGTGTGCTATGGACCCACATGGGAGATGGCAGGGAAGGGAGGTACAGGCTGCACCCAGGGAGGACACACACCTGGCTATCTTGCTGGCAGCAGCCACTTAGGGAAAAAGACTCTCTCTGTTCCTGATCCGAGACACACAAAAGATAACGTTATACTGTGGGTGCAGTAGCACATGTTATAATCCCAGAAATTGGCAGAAGGAGGTAGGAGGGTCCTGAGTTTGAGGCTAGCCTGGGCTACATAGTGAGATCCTATCTCAAAAACAGAGAGAGAAAAGGGGGAGGGGAGGGAGAGGGATAGGGAGAGAGAGAGAGAGAGACTGCTTGAGTCTCATTTACGGATAAAGAAAACAGGTGTGCTGCTACTTGGAAGGCTGAGGTAGGAGCAGGAAGTCTGTAAATTCAAGGTCAGCCTGGGCAATTTAGCAAGACCCTGTCTCAAAAGAAAATATTTTTAAAAGAGCTTCATAAGCCACGTAAGGTGGTGCTCACCTATAAACCCAATACTTGGAAAGCTGAGGCAGGAGGACTGCCATGACTTCAAGGCCAGCCTGGGCTACACAATGAGTTCAAGGCCAGGTTGAACCACATAGTGAGACCTTATCTCAAAAAAATTAAAAAAGGAGGGTAGGGGCTATGGATGTAACTCATTGCTCCCTCGATTCAATCCTCAGTATCCACCCCAAAAGAAAATTAGGTGTGAATGCCCAATTTCAGACAAGAGAAAGTGCTAACACCACCCCAAGGTTCACCCCACTGGGACCCTGATCCTTGAAACCCCTCTAAGAAGGGACAAGACTTTTACTGTCAGAGATAAAGAAAGTTGACATACTCATGGCTCTGTGAAGCAGAGCACCCCTACGCTCAGGTTCCCATGGAGAGCACAGTTGTTCCTGCTAGTAGACCCCAATGGGGTGCTGTGAGTGGTGCTCAGGCCCTGGGCTCTGAAACAGGGGTCTAGAAGCTCTAGACTTGGAAGAGAAGCCCTGTCCCTTCCTACTTTGGCTTAGGGGTACCTCTGGGGACTGACACCACACAGGGCTTCAGGACGGGGTCAGAGAAAGGTTGGGCCTTAGAGGTACTTCCTTTGAACTTTCGGGGTGGGGGCCGGGGCGAAGATTCAAAACCCTCTCCAAGGTGGAAGAAAGGGAACAGTCAATTCTCCTTGTCAAATTTTGCCAAGTCCCCATCTGCACACTACAAACATGTCAAAGCTACTTACTTAATGCAGCCCACCCAGCAGGCCACTAGCCACATGGCTCTCTGCTGTCCTATACAGACACATTCCAGGCATGGTGACATTTCAAGAGCAGTCTATTATTCATGAGCAGTGAGCTCAGTGCTGTGAAAAATGAAAAAAACATCGCCCCTATTCTTATTATAGCTAAAATTCAGTTTTTATAATGGATATGCTACCAAATTATACATAAATCCGATTTTTATAAAATAAATAAGTATCTTAGAATCAGAGAGAGCTGGCATCAAATTTCAGATCCATTATGAGTTGTCTGGCCTTGAGTAAGCTACTTGCCTCTATGGGTCTCCAGTTTCTCATATGAAAAATGGGAATGGGGCTGGGGATTTAGCTCAGTGGTGCCGCATGCCTGCCTTGCAAGCACAAGGTCCTGAGTTCAATCTCTAGTACCAAAAAAAAAAAAAAGAAAAGAAAAATGGGAATAATAGTAGTACCCACCACACTGGATTACAGGAAGGATAAAATAAAATAACACATATAAAGTACTCATCATAGTGCCTGGCACACATTCAATGTTACAGAAAAAAGGTGCTAGTAATTAGGCTTTTAAAAGAATCCCATGGTCAATTTGTACAGCAAATAATCCTTTAATGCAAAGAATCATTGTCTAATTTAAATATGGTATGGGATTTGCATGCTTTCAGTTTCTCTTAAAGTAGGATGTGCCAGATTCCCAAAGCCACTTTCTGAGGCATAGAGGAAATATAATATAGTACCACAGATCTGGGTTCAAATCTAGGGTCTACCTAGCTATCTATAGACAACGGGCATGTCACTGAACCTGTCAGTCTCAGCTTTCTCCTCTGTAAAATGGGGTCATAAGAGTGTTTACCTCCCAAGGCTGTGAGGATTTGATGCAATATTCTATGAGGTACTTAACTCAGTGGTGGCATCTAATGAGGGTTTCAGAGATCTGCTATTACAAAAATTAGCAGCAACTTTCCAATCAAGTTTGCAGATGTGATTTAAGAACAGGCCAGTTAATATTGGGACAGAAAAAAACACCTTTCATTGCCAACATCTGAGCCTCTGGAGCTCGTCAGCAATCTTGCTTACATCCTTCCTTATTTTTAAGAGGAATCAGGGCAGAAAGACACCTCAGGGCAAACCCATCCCCAGTAATGGGAAAACAGATGACAAAGCACATGACACAGGAACTTGGATCAATAACACTGTCTTTGTGGAGGGACAGGGAATGAGGGAGAGAATGAGGATGCCACAAAACCTCTCCTAGAATCCAACATCTATTGTGTATAAGACTACCAGCGAGTCCAGCTTGCCCGGCCTCCCACCACCATACCTTACTGTCCAGTTTCTTCATTGTCACTAGGTCCAGAGACTTCAGTGAATGCCCTGTGGGGGCGATGAAGTACAAGCAAGCGTGGATTCGGGAGTCATGGTAGGTGTGCAGCACCCTTCGGATCTTCAGCTCCTCCTGCAGGTAGGCCTCAAACTGTGCATCAATGAATTCCACGATGGGCTTGTAGCTAGACGGGACAGTGGGGAAATGGTTGGACTCCTTGGAAAACCTGGATTTTAACACAGTCCCTTTTATTTTTATTTACGTATTTTATTTTTTTATTATTATTTTTTTGGTACTGGGGATTGAACTCAGGATTGAACTCAGGCAGGCAGCAGTGCCACTGAGCTAAATCCCCAGCCCGACACAGTCCCTTTTAGAAATGTAAAGTGCCTTCCATAATCTGATTCTTCTTCATCCATTGGATTTCTCTATCTACCCTCAGTGGGCTTCCAATCCTATCAGCCAAGGCCACCTTCTTAGTCCCCACATGAGTCCCACTTATGCCCACCTATGTACCTTCACACTGGAATGAACGCCTGTTTCTCTCTGCTCAGTCCAATCCTCCTCATCCACATGTCAGGACTCAGTTTAATGCCAACCTCCTTCCTATAGCCTTCCTCACTTATTCCAGAAACCCCTTCTGTGACACAGGAGCATAAAGAAAAATATGAAATGAGGACTAATATTTTATCAAGTCAACTGGGACAGAGCCTGTGCAGGGCATTTCCTATTCTCCATGGGGCTCTAAGGCAATGTGGATCCTACCTGCAAGATCTGTGCTTAGGCTGATTTTCCTCCATGCTGGGTCCATGTGTGCTTCCTGCATCCTGCCCTCCATGTCTATGATGGAGGCTGGGTACATAGAACCTCTCCTTGACTCCCTGCTCAGGAATCTTGTCAGAACACTGTGGGGTTTTTGCTCAATCTTGCTAGGTTGAGTTAAGTACCCCACTCAGCTCTCTCAAGGGCCAGGTATTTTTCAGGTTCTCATTTCCTCCATGGATTTGACTTTTATTGTTTGTATGTTTTTGTGTGTGTGTGTGTGTGTGTGTGTGTGTGTGTATATATATATATATATATATATATATATATATGCATGTAATACTGGGGATTGAACCCATGGCCTCTGCACTGAGCTACCTCCCTAGGCCTTCTGTTATTTTTTATTTTGAAACAAGGTCTCTTGTTAAGTCCCAGCCTCCCATGTGCTAGGATTATAGGTGTGTACCACTGTGCCTGACCTGGTTGTGACTTTAAAATATAAGTATTCAGACAATATTTGGTAAAGGTACTCTCCCCGCCGCCATACCAACCACAGGCATACATGTGTGCCCCAGCTTGCTGAGTCTCCACGCTCAGCTTCCCTAGCTGGCTCCCAAGTCTCATGAAGACTTCTTTAGAAATGGTCAGCCCTCTGCTCCACAATGGCCTGGGCCTCTCTGGGAAGCTTCCATTTTCCCTGCCCTCCCCCCGCCAGGCCATCCCTGCTGCCCCTACAGTCTTTTTCTGCTCTAACTAGGTCAGCTCAGCTTCCATCCACCTCTGTTCTCATCTCCCCTGTCTGCCCACTGCCTCTCCATCTGAGGGGCTGCCTCCCTTCAGGCAAGAAGAGGTTTGTCCCCTGGGTCCAGAGCAGGGGACTCTTCATATATCACTGCCGGAGGGAAATATGATCAAAGAAGAAGCTGAGCCCAACCAAGCCACCCACCTGTAGTAGCCCCATCCTGAGCCCTTTTGAAAGAGCCCCCTAGTAGAGAAGGGGGAAACAGCATTTTAAAAAAAGAATCACAGAATCTTAGATTCTGAGAGCTGCACAGAGAAGAGATCCAGGTGCGGGAGGCCCAAAGAAAATCTAAAAATATAGTCCTTTCTTTGTTCTTTGGATTCCTCTGAACCAGCACTGTTCTGAAGAGTAATAGCATCAAAGGATCTCTTGGTAGCAAAGTCTTTAGAAGGTTCCTGAAGAATTTGGAGTGAGAGTCAGGGCAGCATCTCCTTGGCCTATCTAAGTTTTGGACAATGGGCTGGTTTGAATGATCTGATCTTGACACTGCTGCTTTTTTTTTTATCCATTATATAATGTTTTCCCTTTGCAAAAGGGAACAGAAGCAAGAAGACAGTAGGATTTTTAGCTCACCCCACCCCGAGTTTCCAGGATACCTCTGCTGATTTTACTGCTGCCACCTCTGGCTCTGGCTTTGAAGAGACACATGGATCAGACCAGCCAGAGCAGCCTATCAGCCAAACAAGATTGGGTTCAGGGGAATCAGAAATGGTGACTCATCCCTGTCTTCATCATCTCTGGATCCTCAGTGTCTGGCCTGCTGTCTGGAATATTGTAAGGGTTCTGCTCTGTACTCCCTCACCCTTGTCCCCGTGCCCCATCTTCCCATGGTGGCCATCTCTGTCCCACACTCTGCTGGGCTCACTGGACTCCAACCCACAAGCCACATAACCCTTGCTCCCACAGGCCACCTCCTCACCACCTGCTGCCTTACTGTGAGTGATACCTGACTGGCTTTCAACTGTGCACTGCTAGGCATGCCACACTCAAGTTCCACAAGGAGCAGGAGAGAGCAGCTTTCTTCTCGCCCTTCCTTCCCTGTTTACTATGATCACTTCCATCTCCAGCAGATTCTACCCTGCTCATCACCACACTAAATCTTGTCCCATTTAAGATCTGAGTTCTTAACCTGGGGTTCACAGACTTCCAAGGGCTCTATGGATAGAATTCAGAGGCTCCATGAACTTGAATAGAAAAAATGCATCTTTGTCCCTAATCTTGAACTGAACTTTAGCAGTTTCTTCAGTTATAAATGTAGGTAATGATCTATGGGAATGTTTGCAGCATCTGTGATTTCACAGCCAACAGAAATCAGTGATATTTTTGTTTCCTATTGCAATGGTTGCAAATTTCTCAATATTGCATCCATGCTCACTGTAACTTCCAAACACTGGTCATTATTAAGCCTACATATAGACACTGTTACTTCAGGAATTAATAGAGAAGCACATGAATTATTAAATCATGATTTTTAAACATTTTGGTAACTGTATTTTTAGTAAAATTGGTGTGTGTGTGTGTGTATGTGTGTGTGTGTGTGTGTGTGTGTGTGTGTGTGTTTGAAGCAGGGTCTTGCTATGTGGTTCAGGCTGGCCTTAAACTCACTACGTAGCCCAAGCTGGCCTCGAGCTCACAGCAATCCTCCTGCCTCAGCCTCCAGAGTTCTGGGAAGTAAAATTGGTATATGGGGGCATTTGAAACTATTATTTTGAAAATAAGCCTATAGGCCACACTAGACTGCTAAAAGGGTCAAAGCCACAAAGCAACCTCTGGTCTAGATAAATTTTTTTTGCAGTATTGGTAACTGAACCCAGGGCTTTCACATTGGGCTACATCTCTAGCCCTTTGGCTTTTTTTTGTTTGTTTGTTTTTTCTTTTTTTGGTACCAGGAATTGAACTTAGGGCCTCACGCTTACCAGGCAAGCACTGTGCCACTGAGCCACATCCCTGGCCCCAGCTTTTTTGTTTTGAGACAAAGTCTCACTACATTGGTAAGTTTCACAGGCTGGGTTCATACTTGCAATCCTCCTGCCTCAGCCTCCCACAGTGCTGGGATTACAGATGTTTGCTATCACACCTGGCTTAGATAACACTTCCTCATTTCTTCATGTTTAAATACTTCTTCATTACATGCATTATGAAGATACTACAATATGACAATAGGGTAAAAAATGACTGGGGTTCAGCTACTTTAGTGATCAGGGGAGGCCTCCCTGAGGATGTGATATTTGAACTATAAGCATGAGAATGAAAGGGCCAAAGAAGTTGAGGGTAGTGCATGCCTGTAATTCCAACACTCTTCGAGGCTGAGGCAGGAGGATTGTAAGTTCAAGCCCAGCCTGGAAAACTTAGCAACTTAGTGAGACCCTCTCTTAAAAATAAAATGGAAAAGGGGTTGGGGATGTAGCTTAGTGCAAAAGTCCTGGGCTTAATCCTCGGTACCAGAGATTATTTATGAGGAGACCATTTCAAGGAGATTGAATAATAAATGTAGTAATGATCCTGAGGCAGCTTGATAAGTTTGAACAACAGGAAGAAGGCCAGGGAGCTGGATTCAGTGAATAAGGAGGGATAATAAACTATAGGGCTGGGGATGTAGCTCAGCGGCACAGCACCTGCCTGGCAAGTGCAAGGTCCTGATTTTAATCCCTGGTACTCAAAGAAAAAAACTATTGTTAGGGCTGGGGATTTAGCTCAATGGTTCCACCGCCTGCCTCGCAAGCAGAAGGACCCGAGTTCGATCCCCGGTACAAAAAAAAAAAAAAAAAAGAAAGAAAAAAACTATTTTTAAGTTCACTGAATCTTTTTTTTTGGTATCGGGGATCAAACTCGGGAACTTGCACTTGCGAGGCAGGCGGCAGAACCACTGAGCTAAGTCCCTGGCCCCGAAAAACTGTTTTTAATAGCCAAAGAATAGAAACAGCCCAAATGTCCATCAACTGAGGACTAGATAAAGAAAATGTGCACTGTCCATACAAAGGTATATCCTTGGCCATAAAAAAGGCAATTCTGATACATGCTGCCACATGGATGAGCTCCAAAAGCATCACAATAAGTGCAAAAAGCTGGACACAAATAGTGTATGGTGCCTCTTCTATGAGGTACCTAGAATAGTCCGATTCACAGAGACAGACAGGAGATTAATGGTGGCCAGTGTCTGAGGTGGGAGGGGGATGGGGAGTTTTTATTTAATGAGCTTTCTTTCAGGGTGACAGGAACATTCTAGAACTAGATAGAGGTAGTACTCGTACAACAGTCAGTAGTGACTGCCACTGTATTACATGCCACTGGACTGCCCACTTTAAGTAGTTAATTTTGTTATGTGAATTTCACCTCAACAACAACAAAAACAAATAATAACAGATGAAGCAAGTAAGGTAGCAGGAGCTACATTATGTAGGGCCTTGTGGGTAGGGCATGTTAAAGGAGTTTTTCTATGTGAATGGGGTCTTCTGTTCCATAGGGCTCTCGACTTGGTTGGCTGCTGTTGGTTTATAAGAAGTCTATGGTTTTCTGAATCTTTATTTTGAAACTGGTCACCTTACTCAACTATTATTTGTCAGAACTGTCTTTGAGCTGATTACCATGGGTCTCCTCTATTTGTTATGGTTTAGATCTGG